GTTGTTTACATAATACATTGTTTACCTATATAAATGTATTATTTTTTTTATTGTTTTATCAATGTTCTTTACACATATGTTTGTTCAATTTATGAATTATTTTTAAAAAAGTATGGCATGCCAGAGTATCTTGCTCTTGATTACCTCTGTGGTGTTATTGGCAAAACAAATGACACCTACCTGTGGCAGCAAGACCACTATTATAGGATTAATATTATAAAGGATGTGGAGGGCGAGAAATTAATGTTCAATTGGGTTTTGATGATTTACGTTTTTATTTGACAATGTAGTTTTCTATAAGGTACACAAAAAATAAAAATTAATACATAATACTTTAGTAATTGCAATAATATTGTTTCACCTGACTTTCATATCATCTTTTTATACATACATTGTTTAAGAATGGCAACTTTTGCTAATGTTTTAGTAATTTAGCGTAGCATATTTTACTATATATTAGTTAAAACGTACTGAATTAATTATTACGAAGACGACAAACTTATCAGTTTGCATGTATATAAATTTATGCCTCTCCTAACCAGTTACAAATACACCATAATTTTGTATGATCAAACGTTTCTCTTGCCGGCATCGAACCGTTCTAATTCTACACATCTATAATTTGATATGTTAACACCAAACACTACATGATCTAAAATTGAAAGATCCATATTAGGCGAGCTTATTTAGTATTTATTAAGAAAATTATTAAAAAATAACCTTAAAATAAAAATACATGCAATATGTAAAAATGGTATTTCGTTAGTCAATACATTTATGTATGAACAGGTATTTTGCTCGTTTGGAAAATGGGCAAGTATGAATTTGATACTCTTATAAATGCTTCAGGGATATTGCTTTAAAACTGGTTCCATATCCGGCTTTTCAGTATCAGTTAAATGTAAAGGTTTGCTCAGTGAAGGAATCAAGGTTAACTCTCGACAACGCATGGCAAAAATGGTATATCAAAAGTCTACCTCATCAGTGAAGTCATAGACAATTTAAGCTCCGCCTAATTTGAATCTTCGTACATATAATTATTTTGAACAGTTCAAAAACATCTAGTTTTATTATATTCTCTAGGAACTAGTTATAAAATTACACAAGTTATTAATGGAATTATTATATGTTAAAAAATAATTATAATACTGTACAATCTCTGAAACCATCCGCTCAGGCACACATTCAGCAAATAGATTCATAAAAAAATATAAAAACACGGTTGTATTCGTGAAATGCATTAAATAAACGCAATTCGAATAATATATAATAAATAGAATTTTTGAAAACGGCGGCAGTCTATTCTCGAGCATCTTTACAGGTAAAATAATATCGAAATTAATCTATATAAATTCATGGCACAACCGTACAAAGCGAATCGTCGAAGTGTGTACGAGAGTACACATGTAAGATAACCCACTATATGATCCGATTTTCAAAAACAAGTTTAATAATACAAATATTGACTTCTTAACTATGTGGTTTTCATGTCTTACGTTTAGTTTTTTTTGACCACGTGAACACTTTCTTATTTTAAATGGAGCACTCTGTATATTGACACACATTGATTGGGAGAGTGCGTTTCTAAACGACTGTCATAGCGAAAATGTTTTCAACATTTTTTAAATTCTTTATGTACACGAAATAAAAGAATTGAAATTCGTGCTGCCTTATTGTACTAACGCAAATTTTTAAGTGCTGCATTGTTGTCTCGTTTTTTTACTCTTTTTTTTTAAAGTAACACTGTATATATTAATTTACAGATAAATTAAGAAGTAGAAAAAAGGAATAACCGTTTCGGAATCATTGACCATCATACTGAAGGAATAAATAATTTACTTATTTTCCAAAAACGAAAAACTGGTACTTTGTGATTTTAGGCTGTGTTTATTATTATTCTTATAAAGAGTCAAATAAACCTAAATTTATAAATAAATAATTTTAACTTGATGATGATGATGGGGACAGTAATTTCTAATCAGTTACCTTAGGCCACTACTATTACTTTTAAGTAATCTTTTAATGCTTAATTATATACCGAGAGTGCCAATTAAAAATTTTATAGTAAATGTATAAAAGGCGAAACGCTGTAGCATGTTCATTACTTGAATATTTCTTAGCATAAGGCAAGCTAAAGTTTGGGCCTCTATTTGATATACATAAAAATTGAAAAGCATTAAAAATATTCTTACTATGGCAGTTATCGTGTGTGTCAAAAAATAATTGAGAACGCCTCTGAATACAATACACGGACCTCCACTATGATATACCGTTAAACTCGTCTTACAATTCATTTGTGCGAATGTGTATCAATATACAGCAATTTTAAAATTCAAAATAGGAATTTTTTTTACGTATAGAAAAAAGAATCTTAAAATTAAAATTAGTTTTGTAGATATTACCATTTCTCAGATCGGATAGGGGGTGATGTCATGTAGACCACGTTGTACGAGGTGAATGTATACATTGACTTTCAACCGTTTGCTTCAGAAATAAGTTAGGAGTAACCAAATTCGCTAGTTCCACTCTCAATAAAAATATATTTACAAAATATAACATTACAATAATTTCAACTAAATATTCTTAACACATACAACATGTATTTGGTACAGAGATTAAATATTACGTAATTAGTAGTCGTAAGTCGCAAGGGCCTAGAATTTAAATTTATTATTTTATCAATACTGGGTACGTACGTCTGTTAAAATTCACCAGGAGACATTGCTTATTAGAAACATTGAGCCTTGAATAATAATTCATAACTGGCGTTTTAGAGAGGTTGATTTGATATAGACAACATATAATGCAGGGCATTATCATAGTAAGTATAGATACAGTTTGTTCCATAACTTTTCAAAATAAGAAAATTTCTTCGATAAATGAAATGGTAAATGATAAATATAAAAAAATCTAGAGCTAGGCACTACTTTTTAAACAATAATCTGTCAGAATATGTTTTCAAAAGCTTAATTACGCAATATTGCTCGAAATTACGATGAGTTACGATGAGTTTCTCATTTCACAAAAGATAATTCTTCGACTTGTTTTTGACCTGATTTATAATACTATCAGTAGGTAAACTTTTCAAAAGCAAAAAATACCCAGTGTAATATCTATTTACTTATTGCTATAAAATATGTTCATAAAAACAAATCGAAGTATGAAGTTAATGGAGTTTTCCATAAATACACCACATGAAATAGAAACAACAACACAGCGACATATTCATAAATATTTTCAACATTCACCAATTTTTGCTGGTTTCCATCTCTAAAATTCTATTATATTTTAAAAGGCTATTAAAAAGTTCATAAAGCACATTGATCTAATAATTCATATTAATTTGAATCAGAATTCCTGAATGCGGTTAAACAAAAATAATTTCCTAAATATAACATATAATATAAAAATTAGTTATGCAGCTCTACGTTTTTTTCGTTTCTTTGTTTGAATGAACGTTTTCCTTTTTACTTGTTCTTATTAGAGTTCGGACCTAAAGAAATATCTATGTATCTCTCTAAAACCTTAATTTTCATTAATAGATAAGATGTATACATCAAAATTAATGATACGAATGAGTTTGCGGCTATAAAGTTAGGACTGAATTATCAATATACGTCTCTGAATATGTTTCTTTATCAATAACAAGACGACAAGTTTCTTTTACTCAACTTCGAGTGTGCTATTGGTGTGCCTTTCTAACGTCACCTTTGAACATCCTAATGGATGAAAATGAGATTTAGTCAGAGCTCTGCAAGTGCAATAAAAGCAAGGATAACAATTAGATCTTTTTACAATGAACGGGATACAGAAAGGTAACATATCAAAAGAAAAAGATGTCGCACTTTTTCTGTCAAGGTATTTTCCCAAAACCAAGTCAATAACTTTTTCGCGGGTAATATTTACACATAGTTATTAAACAAATGTTCCTTTTGGATTTGTTATAGTTATATGACAAAGTTCTTGTTACTGTTTACACATTTTTACGAAAATAAAACGGGAATATAAATTATATAAATTTTTTTATTGTTATATTTATTTTATTTATATGTATAGTAAATTTAATTAATAAAAAGCTATACATTATTTGGTACTATCAAAATGAATTCCATGAAAGCTACTTCCAAGCTATCTTAAAAATTTGTCGCAAAATTTGCAAATTTGTAAGTATCGTCCACAGTCAAATTAAAAAATAAAAATATGGAAATATTAAATCCTTCTAGGGGGTTGTAAATGGTTGTGGTTGAACTTTGACCATCTCAACAGTTAAGAGATAAGTAAATAATTTAGTAATAAGAACCTAATTTAGAAATACAAAGAAATACAATAATTTGCTATCCCCTCCGGAACAATCATTCAAAAGAAAATTTGAAATTAAAAATATTTTTACCCATAAAGCAATCCCAATTTTAAAGTATAAGTGTAACATCTTTTCTTCACCTTTTGTTTGCAGAATAAAAATTAAAATTATAGTAAAACATCGATCGAATTTACTTCTTCCATTTCCAGATCCTGCGCTGAAATTTGTGTAGGTAAAAGCATATTTTGTACGATGAGAACTCTATTTTATTATTGATATATATATAATAGACGCTTATTTTAAAAATTCTAAACAATTTAAAGCAATCCTAGCTCAAATAATCGCAGTTAAAAATGCTAAAAAGTTATAAAATTTAAATAGTGGCTTTGCTAAAACACAGTAAGATATACTTTTTTAATATTTACTACTACATATTGTTATTTATTCATGTTTATCAAGGCGATACATAAAATTTAATCTTAACAATAGCTACTTTTAAGTATCTTTTAAATACAGAATTTTATAATTTGTGAACATATGTTAATTCTGTAATTTGCCAACGCATTAGGATTTTTTTAAAGAGGCAAACCTTTTGATGGATAATATGTTTTTCAATAATTTTTTTATTTGTTTTCTTAACGTAAAAAAAAATCTCAATAAACTTCGAGCTAGCTTTGATTGAATGTGCACCCACATTTTTGAAATGAACAATGCTGCCGAAACTTATAACGTTTTTATTATTGTCGGTGACAAATGTTTTCTCGAAGACGATGGCTATTTTTTAAGTTAATTTGACTTGCATTAAACCATTTTTGCTTTTGAGTGTAATATTTGAGACACCCATTCTCTAACAAAAATTAGTGCTTCAAAATTTCATAAAGAGCAATGTCTCCCGCATAATTCCGACTAGCACATTTAAGAAATAAATAAATCACAGCGAAACCGTTGGCAAAGAGAATTTCAAAGCCGCGCGGGCGTCAAATAATCTCTACCACGCAGGGCCATCTGGTTTGAATGAGTAGAGCCCGTAAGAACCATCACCGCGTGGCATTCACTTACACTTGCGAGACCTGCGGCGAAACCTACGCATCCTCTGGTCCCATTCATCCCTCCATTCGATGACTATCGACCGTTGGGTGACTCCCAGGCTACCAGTGACGATACCGCCTGGAGAATCGTCCTTCTCTCGACCCAGGAAAAGATATGATCTGAAGTTTGGAAAGGTTAAGTAAACGGGGACCAAACCATGTTTTATTATACTAGTTTTGGTTAGTTCACGAATTCATGAAATGAGTTTGGGGCAAGACACCATTCTGATATCAAATACTCGTCAAATAAATTCCCGAAGTAATTCATTAGAATTTGTTCTAATTTTTGTGAAAAATATGCGTCAGTTTAGAGCTAAATGTTGAAATAAATAAAAAAGTAAGGTTATGTTATTATTATAAACATACACAATAAAACATACTTATAATTTTTTTTGTAATTCGAGAGAGTAATAAAATGCAAATTTGCAATGACAGGTTGTATCGTAAATTTCATATAAATTGCACTGATAGTTTTCGTTCCACTAATTTGCATACGATAGAAAAACGATCTTCGCGAATGAAAGTAATGTGACGCAGATAGATTATTAGGATAAATATAATAATAATATAATGCTTGAATTGTTTTCGGCTTAAGGTTGTTCAATATTACTTAAAGTTTCGATTTATATTATATAATTTAATTTTTTTAATAAAAATATTTACCATACCTTAGTGATGTTTTCAATGAGTTAGCAAAGTGCAAATATGAAATAACTGACACGAATATTTGGAAGTTTATGTGTATTGGTAATGGCAGAGTTTATTTAATATTTAGTTTATTTTCAACGCAATTATTGTATTATTATTATTAATATTAACCAAAAATGAAATAAACTATAAGCAACTAATACTAAACATAAACTTCAAAGTCAGAATATTCATGTCATTTATTTCACATTTGTACTTTCTTAATTCATTGAAAATATTGAACAATCCCAACAGTTCAAGCATTACATGTAATTTAAGGTTGAAGAATAAAAAGGAATTACAAGTGAGCACAAAATCGAGATGCGCATTAAGAAACAGAGCATAGAATTTGTGCGGGTTGGTAAATAGTTCGATAAAGTAATATTTCTTTTGAATGGAATTCAAATTGCCTCTTTGCGAAATTTGTTTATTATTATTATTGTATTATATTTACAATTTATAAAGCTAGGTATAGTTTTTCTGCTTTTTTTCAATACATTTTTTAATCTATAAAACCAGAAGAAATCAAGATCATTTCATAATATTTCAACCATTTGTTGGTAAACATAATATAAGGAACACGATATTATGGGCCAAGGTAGCACCAAGAGCATGAAAAATCAGGCCGCTAAGAATAAAAATATTTTCAGTAATGAACTGCTGCATTTAAGAGTAATTACCACAAGTGGATTTTTGAAATAACTTTTCAATAATGCAGTATAATACACTGAAACTAATATATCCTCATTTATTACTATAGGCTAGTTCGGGACGATGTAGAGTAATAAAATAATAAATTCCGGCCAATTCGGCTTAATTTCGGTGTATCTATAGACCATAGGTGTGGGTCAACTTTTTATAATAAAATTATTTTTGACCTGTATTGTAAATTAAATGTCAATAGGCTTTCTTGTAATTTATGTCCACCTGATATATATGTTATGCTTTGTGACGGAATAACGGTAGCCCTTTTATATTAATTTAGTTTAATGCATTAGTGTTTGTTGTTAAGCCGTATAGTAATAAGATTATTATTAAAATCGCGAAACTCGCATCAAAGAAAAGGTGTTCTTCACTATCCATGACTAGAACAGTTATTACCCTAAATGTATATGATTTCATAAAATAGGATTACAAGATTTTTACTGTTGCTGATGTTCAGTAATGATCGGAGAAGCAAAATCCCCCATTCTTAAATTACTATCGAAGAGGGGGAGACAGCGGATCAAGTGCAACCTCCAAAGAAAAGTCAAGATAAATGTTCAATGGAGGTTGGCCTTGATGACAGCATTACGTTGATAACTAGAAAGGTTTTATGGATTTTTCCTAGGAAGAGCATATCCGTCAAACAAGAATCTCACGTGATAAAGCCACACTTCCCGCACGCTAGATGGGTGTATATTTACATTTTACAGGAGTAGAAAAACACATGTAGCGGAAGGTAATTTTTTTTTCTGACAGCGAAAATACTCGGCAAGTATAAAGTGTTACTAAAGACAAAGAAATTGTTTTATTTTTGTGAAATATGGATTGATGAAGGTTATAGAGTACCAATTGGTATTGAGCTGTCTACAGGCAGAGCGTCCATATTGGAAGTGAACAAGAAATTTTAAAAGGAGGTTTGCCAACCTCTCAGTCTTGCCATGTTAGAAATTACCATGTGTGGTGAAATTGTAAAATATTCTTTGCTGATTCAGTAATAGTTATAAATAACGCAAGCTACCGTTCACCAAGCCCTTCATCTCGGAGGGAGAAATTCAGAGGGAACTATTACAATATATCAAATGGTAATACTCATATACATTAACTACACATATAGACAGTACCAGTAAAAGGATTTGTAGTAAGACACATTCGGAATGAACACCTATCGTTTTATCCAGCCATTGTTGAAGTGTTCGGATGGTCAGTGCATTTATTATAACATCAAGAAGAGATGACAGTTCCTCAGATGATGAAGAATATTATGGTTTTTTATAATTTAATTTTTGCGTAGTATATTTCCTCTATACCGGCCAATTAGCATTTTCTGCACCTTTGGTATAAGCATATTTCCCCCTATTCAACAGATAAATTATAGATGAACAGCATATTTGTGAAGAGAAGGTCCATTATTTCCAATTTAATATATTTTACTGAATATATTTTCAAATCAATGGATCAGCAGTTGCAGGTTGCTGCCATATATGCCGATTTTAGCTAGCGGATCGAGAAAATAAAACATACAAACTTGGCTTGGAGATTGCAAGATCAAGAGATAGGAATCAATTGGCTGAACTATAATCTTTACTAGAAACACAAACCCTCTAATTTTTGAATATAAATTAATCAATACATCTTTGAAAGTTTCAACTTAATTCGTGACCTAGGTATAATAATGGTCACATTTATGACGAAAACATTAATAACACTAAAAAAATCAACACCTAACCTGGGTTACATTCTCAGGCAGTCAAAAGTTTTTGCCTCTGACAGGGCTCTGTCAACGCTCTTTAACTCGTTTATTTTAAGCAAAAGAAAAAACAAAAGAAAAAACACCGACACATAAATGGTGACTATGGCTCTTTTCGAAGAGATAGATACTAAAAAAGAGCTATTGCACACTTCATAACGAGCACTGTAACAATCTGGATATATTTAACTTGCTTAAAAATGTCAATTTTCCAATGATTTTTTTAGTGGTATTTATAGTTGTACTTCAACATTTTTTTCTTATAATTTTGGTTGAGTTTAATATAAGTATAGCTATTAAACAATAATTGTCATGGATTTTTGATAATTTAACCCAAACTCGTATGGTATTAACTGACAAACAGAAAAAAAAATGGAATGAACTCAACGCCAAACATTGTTCCTTTGCATACTTGATGAAGATTTATTATTCTACACATTCTAAAAGAGACTTCAGATTCTGGAAAGTCAGATTTTGCTGCAACCTAGGTAAACGGTGACTAAGTGAAACCTTAACGAGCGAATATTAAAGATTGACTTACTTGTTGGCTTTAATTTTGGGACATTTGCAGTTCAGGTCCGCGATTGGCACTAGCATGGGCATCGTTCCTTTCCGGATTCTCGAATCTCTGGATTTCTTGTACACGTACTCCACGTTGATCATGAATCTTGCCCAGCCTTTCGTGTGTTCGTCGTCCGTGTTTTCGATTTCGGATAATACTTTCGCCATGATTGCTGGGAATCATACAAATGAACTTCTAAATACACATAAATGAAACAATATTTATCTATTTTTTTTTACTTTTTTACTATTAAAACAAAAAGGCTGAGAAAGCTGTAATTTTTCGGTAAATTAAAATCATCAGTTATTAATGATAACAATTTACTAATACTACAGTCGATGAAAACTTGGGTTTACGGGTTGGAATTAGAGTTTTTTAATAGTTCACTTCACTTCACGTCATTTATTGAGACCAACAAAAACAAAAATGAATTATACACCAAAAGATATAGGGAATAGAAAATGGCAGGTATATAAAAATTTTTTCTGACCATAAAAATCATAATCAATTATCAATGCACATCCACTTCAAGCTTCTAAGTATTCTTAAATTCTATGAAAAAATCTGCAATTTTTCATGCAGCTTATATTGAAAGTAAAAATTATCTCTTAGTTTACCAGCCGTAGGCAAAATTCTGAAATTCATTCTTAATCTTTGAAATCGATAAAAAAAATGTAGATAACAACACTTTATTAAAGTATTCAGCCTAGTTTATTTAGGTAGTTTGTTCAGTATTTTTGAAAATTGGCACATTTGTAGAAGACCGAAAAAGACATTTTTTGTTAGTATATTTACTAAAAATATATTAATTTTGACAGGTATTTAAAAACTTAGTACATTAATGCATAAATTAATTAATTAGTTAATTAATTAAAATTTCAAACAAAAAAATTTCAAAAATATCAGTTTTGGTTGTTGGAAAAAATTGAACTTGCTGACGTTTCGTGGTAGCTTCTTCAGAGCTAGATACTGGGTCGTATTCTACTCTGTACCTGCTTATATTCTGTTTGGAGGTACGGAGCTCAAACACGGGTGTTCGAGCGTAAAACGAATTTACGTGTGTGATTTGCTTTATTGACAAAAGGTTCCGTGTATGGACGCGCAGCTGAAGCAGATGGGGTAGGGATGCGTGTTACACCGCACACCGAAAAAGATGCGATTCAGACATCACCGCATAAGAACGCATGTGTCACGCTGCCGCCAGGCACATTGTAACGATTTGTTCAAAAAAATAAGTAAAGTTTTTAAGTTTGGCAATACCACGACTTTTACTCACGACCGAGTCGACTGTTTTCCTGAGCAAAAACAGGGTGGTCCTTCGACGCTCTAACCACGGGCATGAACATTGTCTGGGATTCCCATATTGGTGAAAGGTAAAGACCTGAGATTGCTTGGTTGTTTAGAGACTTCCATGGATTCTCGGAATTTACTTTGGCAGGAAAATTAATTACATGCAAGAATTTTCGTTTTATCTAATTCTGCTGATTTAGTCTTAAGGCTCTTTCATGATCTTTTAATCCAGTTGATATTGGTAAGTGGTAAATCTGGTTTTAAAGTTATATTGTTTAAGAATGTAAGGAAGGACCATTTTCTTTAGAAGGTTATGGTGAAGTATATTTTGTGTTGGAATGGTTAATGTCTCTAATGTAGAAGTTATTAGAGAGACGAGCAGATGTTTTAATTCTGCGTTCAGCGACTCGGGTTGAGATAGCTTTACGGCTCTGCAAATAAGGTTTCGAAGGCTTTCATAAATATAGCTGTTTCATCGCTGTGTCTGATGATTGTTCATAAATTTGACCGTTACAAGAAAAATATGTTTTTTCAATTAAGATGAGTAGGTTTGGTTCCAGATCCTCGGATTTTAATATATCTGAAATAGTAGGTCGAATCCTGGTTTGTGAATCTTAGGGAATCCGTATAAAGATCGCCAATATGGGAATCAGCCATTCAAGATAATGTTCCGCTGCTTTAACTCCGCCCTCTCAAACTGCATATCAAGCAGGTACAGGGTGAAATGTGACCCAATTTCTGTTAAGCTCCGAAGAAGTCAACAGTTTCATTGGTGAAACGTCAGCAAGTTCGATTTATCAACACCAGATGGACAAGGAATCCAGAAGATTTGTAAATAGTATTATAGTGGCCTGTGGAACTTTTTTTGAAAAGTCAAATTTTTAAAAACTTGATATATTTATTACTGTTGATGCGCAAATTAACATCAGAAACAAAATTTCCCATAAGCAATTATTAAAAAATGTCCCCATGTCATATGGACTCTAGTCCGTAACACTGTATAAACAATCATCGACAAAATACAAGAAATTGCCAAATTTTCAAAAAAAAATTTTTTTCTCCAAAATTGCTCGAGATGGCTAAAACATTTTACGACAGGTAGACCGTTGAAGAATTATGAAATAAGTCCAGTGGAATTCCAAGGAATTTTGCTAAGAATTCCCATGAATTGCGCTTTTCCTCTGTATTTTACTCTCTAGACATTTTATAAATACAAACTTTCAGAATTTTTCAAAAAATCGAGTTTTGTAATATAAATACATTTTCCCCCTAATAGATCGATGAGTTTGGGAAACCCTGTATAAAAAAGATTTATTATTATTAAAGAAGAATCAAAATTCGCCACAGCTTATTAAGGAACTAAATAAAAATAGCCTACCTACGCCATGTTGAATGGCTGTTACTTACGTAGTGTAAGTTGGGAATTTTCTCATCAGACGCCTTACTTCTCCGAGCTAACTTTGTAAACGAATTTCTTTTTTAGTGCCCTATGCATAACTTACCGTAATCCCTCTTGCAATACTTGTTGAGGTTTAACCGTTTCGTCGCAGCCTTACATTTTCCGCAGTGATCTAAGTTAAAAGATAAAAACACTTTAGACGGGATGGTTTAAAACGGTACTTTTAAATTTTCCTTTAACTAAATTGCTAAAATAATTTCTCTAAGGCTAAATCAAAATACTCTAGATTTTGGAGTATAATGGTGAGGTATTTCAATAAAATTTCAAAGCTTTTTTGAAAATTTTGGGTATTTCTGGGAGAATTTTGGGGAATTCGAGAGTATTGCAGGGGAATTTCGAGGAATTACGAAGATTCAATCAGGACCTTGTTAAAAATATGTGACCGAACGCAAAGGTCTAATAATCCGAGAAAGATTGTGAAGTGTGAAGTTATTTTTGCAGTTGACAACAATCTTCCATTCATTTTTACTTCCACTTATGCTACTGTAATTTGTTATTATGTATTGTTTTTGTTCTCTCCGATGTCTGGTAAGCCGTTTGGACAAACTGCCACTGTGATCATCACTAAAAGGACCACACTTACGCTATTCAGTTGGTATACTCTCTCATTGTGTTTCGACCAGATTGTGTGTGAGAGCTGCTCCAATTTCAAGGCGTACTTGTCCTAATTATTAACAATTACAGTAGATAGTGTTATCGGTGGTGAGTATTCGATGCCAGTACAGGAAGTGGTTTTTGGATTCCAGGACATCGACAAGAGAGTATAGCAGAGTTTTAGTAAGTCCAAGCATGAAAGCCAACCGCGATCGGACTATTTTAGCAACTTGATTGTGTCTGGTTTTCAACACATCCGGCACCTGTCAACAAAAGTTTTCTCTGTGAGGTACGTACTTGATGTATTCTTTCTCTCTCCATCGGCAACCGCACTTGATGTTCGTATTTAAGAGGTGTTAGCGAGCTGAAAGAGCAGTCATTTGGCACTTGCATATTAGAGAGTTGTTGCAGGAACTAGTTTCTTAACTAGTGTTCTAAAATCCCGCACCGTGATCCTATGTGTGCGGAATAGATACACCCTCTCCACGCAGGAATTTGGATGCAGGAGCAGGAATTTAGTAAGTAATTTTTCAGTTGTCCTGTCCGGTTATGCTAAGATCGTTTCGGTATATTTCAAAATTCCGAATCGAGATCTTTACAATTTGATTTAATGTTCAATAGCCTTGTCATATGAATTTCGTAAAATCTTTATTATTATCTTTGTTATTATTATTATTATTATTATTATTATAATTATTATTATTATTATTATTACTATTATTATTATTTTAGTTTAATTAGATCAGCAACTTAGTTGTGAGCGAGCGTAGGCTGAACAGTACTTCACGTCACTAGGACTTAGCTTGCTGTATAATTGTTGTAATTCTTTTTACGCCAGCGGGTTTCAGATTTTCTAGATTATCCTTCAGGTTGACTTCCGCAAAACCCTTGGCAGACATTACAAGTGGATAAATGGTAACATTTTTAAGCTGATACATGTGTTTTACCTCGTGCACGATGTCAATATATTAATGGATTTCCTTCTAGCTTCGATAGTGCTAGGCTATTTTTTCACTATATTGTATTAACATCTGGTGCATTGTGTGCTTTTCTTATGATAATGGTTTGCTCCCAGTACATTTTTGCGTCTTCATATTTCAAGAGTCTACAAAGCTGGCCCATCCAAACCATATATTCTGTTCTTTTTGACCCCCTCTACGTTACGTAAATGATAATTACCGCTGATGCGAACTCTATTCAAAATTAATATTTGCTTTTTCCTCTGTTTGCTTATATTCATTCTACTTTTTCATATAGTGTTCAGTTTTCCAGATACAGGGTGGCAACAAATTTCAGAACAAAAATTTTTTAAATTAATTACTCAAATCCTTTTAGTTAATTTTAACAAAACTTGACGTGCTTATTTGTCGTCACTAGGGTTTTAAATTTGTGTTAATCAAGATAAAATTATTCTTTCCAATAACGCCTCATAAGTTAAATCATAGTGCGCTACGACTTATTGGAAATATATTTCTTAAATCAAGCCGTAAAAATTGAAACTATTTTGTTCCTTCTGTTTTCTTTTGTCGTCTTCAAGATAAAAATTAAAAACCGCCGTTCTGCATACTCCTGAGCTGATTTTCCTAAAACTGGGATTGCTGATTCGTGGTCGTAAAGATCTTTATTAATTGCAATTAGAATTAAAGTGTTTATTACAAGTTTTTCGAAAACAAAATAAGTCAGGATACGTGTTTACAAATTTAGCAGTAAATATGCCTACCAAAAAAAACTTGAAAATATTTTTTATACTACCTCACAGTCCTCGTTTGTCAAGTATATTTCAATCCTGTCGTCTCATATATATGACGTCACAAAATCATTGGAAAGAAACTGGAAATGTAAGGGATATTTTTTCAGGTTACTTCGCGGAATGTCGGGGTAACTTGGTGGCGTTTGGAGATATTCTGGGGAATTTTTTTGAAAGGGAATTTTCGTCTAAACATTTTTTCGATGATTTACGGCTCATAATTTTCTACAGAATTCTTGCCAGAAAAGCGCTTTACTTTACGCTTTACTAAATATTTTATTAACATGCACCTTCGACCTCAAATTATTCAAATCGTATTATCGTCTCAAAGCAATTTAAAAGTTTGACGATTGTTGTGTTTTCCACCGGAAAACCCGTCGGTACTCTTTCCCCTGACGTCATTTAATTGATCGTTTCAAAGGCTGCGCTCGAGCGGAAGATTTTAATAAGGCGAGGCCGAAAGTTCCGACTAAAGAAAGCTATAAAGTAATGGTCCACGCTTAACCGCGTATAATTTTTAAAATATTCTTTTTCCAATATTTGTTATGGAACCTTACAAAGTTGACAAAGGATATGGGATTTATTCGAATGTTTTATTTACTCACCGCCCGTGGCAGGAGAATTTTCGTCTTCGTAGCCATCATCGTCTTCTTCTGTAGCCATCATTTGCACCACCGGTATTTCTAAAGAAAAAACAACGTTCATCTAAAAAGTCATAGATATTGATTTTGTTAATTTTTCTCCTTTTAAATAGATGTCTCTAACAGTAAACCCTTAATCGATATATACGATTCTTATATAGATGTTGTTCATGTGTGTGGTTCGTATTGTTAAGTTATCAATATGGATAACAAGATCTGAGGTCTGTATCGCATATTTTTATAGGTGTGATGAAGCCATTTTAGCAGAAACATGAAACACGTATTTTGAAATTAAATTTATGTTTTGACAGACGATACTGGTTTTGTTTTTTGTTCTTAATTGTAAGTGCAATGAAAATATTATTTCGAAAAGGATTCTTGGCATTTAATCCCAATTATTTGAAGAAAAATTCTATAAATATCAAAGTATAGATTGCGAGATTGAATCTCAGTTACAGTTGTGTGACAATAAAATTTTCAATATTCTTGGTTACGATATTAGAAACCTAAATAATACTAATTAAAAAACTAAAAAAAAACTAAACCATTACTTTAACAAAGTAAATTCATTTTTTGAAAGAAGCGAACCCAAACTTTGCTAATAAAATTGAAACCCGATGAATAATAATATCGTATTCTTCGAAGAGAGTATGCAGAAATCTCATTAACAATATTTAACACTTTAGTCACCAGGTTGCTGTGGCAGAGGCGGAACGAGTGCTTAATAAACGAGTGACGGATGAAATTTATCAGCTATACTATACTTTTTCCTACGAACCTTAGTATTTCACTATATTTTCTTGCAAAACAGCACGCACAGCATTCAAGGACCAAGTGTGCGGACAGTGTCACTGATACTATTCTATTTTTTAACTATCGTTAATTTAGATGTAACTGTTCCAATAAGGAAATAAAATAAACATTATACGTAGAATCATTATAAGATATATATTTATATATAACAATATGACAATAGGAGAAGTAAAAACAATTATAAAAACCTATGACTATATATAAAATATAGAGTTTTTTAGCAGAAACTGTTTGATATGCAGATTTCGAGTTTTTTCTTGCCTCTATTAAAAGATTAATATGTGACAAGATTTGAAATCTATGTATATCATATTAGTTTTATAGCAAATAAGGCATCGGATAAATTATCAGGTAAACTCCGCATTTTTGTAAGGCGATTTAGGTGCTAGGCTAATTTAAAAATGTAATTACTTATGCAAGGTGCAATATGAGATCGACTCTGTTGGTAGCCCTTTGCGCATCGGTTGCAAGTTATTCCCACGACTCCATCTTTGCAAGGACACTGTCCCGTGGCCTGATTACACGTTTTTCCTGAAGCTCCAATCGGATGGCAGTCACAAGCTGAAAGAAAAATAATATTTACAAGCCGTTAGTTTGTGCTGTAAGTGCGTCTCGACATTTGTCAAAGGGTGTATAATATATCGATTAGGGCACACGCCAATTGTTATATTAATAGAAATAAATTTTATATAATTAATATATTTGGATGCTTGTCAAAGTTTCCTGATTTCTTACCGTTTTATATAGTTTAAATTTTGCTAATATTTGAATTGTTTACTATGCTAGTGATGCATAAAAATTGCATTGAGAAATTCAATTAGTTAGTCGTCAACAAATTATACCTGGCACATTTGAACTATCGTGTGTCTATTATGGATGACTAATACGTGAGATGAGTAATGCTCTGATTAGCCACAAAATTAAGGAAACTGGTTGGCTCTGTATGCAACATCGACGGTTAATTCATCACAAAATTATTAATTTAGAATCTTGTTGATGTTCATAATCTCAAAATTAGACACAAAAATAAGATTAGTTATCAATAGATATACCGAATTCCTAAACTAGTACTTACATACATTTTAAAGACATCGTTTCACACTAGGAAAAACCTATCTTACCCCGTTGTGTCAGAAATCGTTGTAACATTAGTAAGTCTTATAATGTCCACATACTACTCTATCTTTTGTTGTTACAGAATTTCTTATTATTCTTTTTTAAAAATAATATAATTTTTATGTCTAGATTATAAGTAAACTACTAGGTTAACTGGACATTGACATTTTCCTAACTGTATTGAAACTAGCTTAGAACTAGAACACTGGTATTATATTTTTTTATACATTTTTGTGAGCCCAATAAAGCAATCATAATTAATCCACTTATAACATAATCGATAGCCCAGGAAAAGCCCTTTTTAACCACACCAAGTTTTCCGAAAATGTTTGAATATCCTCCACCACACTCCTTTAAGATTTGACTTTATCTGAGGTTCGAAAAGTTTTGCCTTCTATGGGTATTATCACAACATTTTTAAAAACCGGATTTGAAAAGTCAGATAGCAATTGCGCTCCATAGCGAAAATAATTTGTCTTGGCCTATTGACACAATACCACACCTTCTGGTCTTCACTGGGACAATAGTCAAATAAATATATGCCTCGGATTGTTTACAAATGAAAAAGTTTACTTCTTTTCTATTTTAATTATTTAAACAAAGGTAGTTGGAAGTATATCTTGCAGTTATTTCTTAAAATTCAGTAAAATTTGATCGAGTTAAAATTTGCTGACTAAATGGTGGGAGCATGAATATTCCCATTTTTTTCTAACATATCTCCTACAACCTAATAGGCTGCACTATTTTTTTTATATTTCTAAGTTAACTTTTATTTTTTAAATTACTTTTCTTTTACATTGTTTCATTTCATGTTTCCTCTTGGCCGTTTTGATAGACATTACTAGGACATAAAATCGCATTTCAAAATAGATATTTTCCCAAATTGTTAAACAATTTAATAATTTCTTGATAATAATTTTACTAAATATAATTTACTGGTGCGGCAAGATTATTGACATTAACATTCAAATGTTAAGTGCAATTTGTTTATTTTCTCATTTCGTCATCATTCAGTCAGCTAATTGATCGTAAAAGTTATAAAATTTATTTGCGAGGCATCAATTATCAAACTTAGATAACTATTCAGGATAAATAACCAAACACAATAATTTTTAATATTTAATAGAAAAATGCATTTACAAAAAAATGGTGTGTAATTGATAAATTTTCTTCCCCAATCAAACTATTTTTGTTATATTTTGCTATTTATTACATGTTGTGCCTTTAACAGGTGGGCAATAGGACATTAATATTATAATTATTATAATTGTGCTGTTAAGTGTTTAACAAAATGTCTCCCTCCGAAATAATAAATCTGGGCAATATTAGAACGTTTTAATATAAAATCTTCTTTCTCGGTATTTGTTATTCCGCACGACCAAAGTATACACCACATTTTGCTCTTTTTCATTCTTCTTAAGACTAGATCTTTGGAAGTAGAATTCTGCTGTAATTTGGGGTTTTTAAAATATTATTTGAAAAAAGGAGAGCTGCTATTTGAGATATTAGTAAGATTTCTTTGCTGATTTATTTTTTTTTGAAATAACCTTTTTTTTAATGCTAGTTTGAGGTTGTTGAATTTCTTATTTCGAAATGGAAAATGGTCGGTTGAAATTTTGGTTAGTAGATAGATAGATAGATTCATTTATTGACTACGTTTCGTACAAAAGGAACGTACATTTGTAGCAAGTCAGAAGTTACATCACATTAAAAAATGACATAAAAACACACATCTAATACAAACAAAATTATACAGTACTATCCAGTTTTATAGCGCATCGATACCAGTGACAGTGTCAATGTATGCTCGCAGGGAGTAAAAACAATGACGTTGTAGGAATTCTTTAATAGTATGTTTAAATTTTCTATTGCTCATCTTTTTCACTGTACCTGGCAAAACTTTATACAATTTCAGGTTCAACGAGTTGCTCCCAGACTTCCTCAGTCTAAACCTAGGCCGTCTAAGGAGATCCCCCGAACGAGTTGGATAGGCATGGCAATCGGAATTAGCGCTAAAGTTTCCTTTCGTTCTTTGTATCTCTAATAACTGGTAGTAGATATAGATGCAAGAAAGGGGCATCACTTTAAATTTTTTAAAATAAGGTTGACAATGGTCCCTATATCCTATATTAGCAACGACTCGAATGGCCCTTTTCTGCATTCTAAAAATCTCCACAGCAGCTGAGGAATCACCCCACAGCACCGTGCCATAGCATATGTGTGAATGCAACAAAGAAAAATAGGCCATAAGCAGAGTCCTTGTTCCTATCAGGCCTCTCAGTCGTCGAAGAACGAATATGTTGTTTGTTTCCAGTTTAGACTATCATCGATCCTAATGCCAAGCAACTTGACGGACTGTCCACTATTTACCAAGCAATTGGAGGAAAACACAATACTTTGGCTCTTGTCTAAATTTAATTTAAGATAATTATTTTCGAACCAGACATTAGCCCTGTCCTCCGACATGCCAACCCTAACGGACAACTCCTCGACACTCTTAGCAGATGTAGAGAAGGATGTATCGTCGGCAAACATCACGCAGTGATTGGGGGCCAGGAAATATCACAAAAACAAGAATTGAAAATGGAGTTTAGAGGAGGAGTGGGGGGTGCGTTGACGATCATGTCTTTTAACTTCATTGTGATATACGTAACATTTTTCACTATCTTTGTAGTATTTTTGTTACTACTTTGTAAGTGTATGACTATTCATTATCCATCTTTTTTCACATTTGACAATTTTTTTTTATTCGAATAATGTATGCGGCATACAGAATACTAAACGAGTAGGCCAACTACGGGCACAACGCTAGTGTGTGGGAGGCTCTGTACTACATAACCCAACATCTGGCTTTGTTGCAAGTTTTTGTTTTGCTGCCATGGCGGATAAATTAAGTCTTCACATTTCCCATCACATATACACAAATGTAGTTAGAATTTCGACATTAAAAAGAGACAATTTCACAACCATATATTTTATGCACGTCACGTATTACTCGATATTAAGTCGGCAAGGGCAGTTGCTTTGTTACGAGCAATAACCTGGATGGGAATTATTACACCTCTGGGGCGCATCCAATGCAGTCCGTCTCGGAAAGCTTAGACATCGCAGGGGATAAATTATATATCGCTCGGCAAGAATTTTCAGGAAATTTCTATAAATACAATAAGTCCCGTGAGGTTTGTTCCAATCTCGGTTAATACGGCTTCCTGGAAAATAGCCTCGACCACTTTTTTGTACCCGATTCGGTCGGCATTTCCCTGGTGCCCCCGCCGAACGATTCCCCAGAAATCCGGTGCGAAATTACGGAAAATCAACAACAACATCAGCGTTTTTAGAAATGCAGACAAATTGTTGCTTTAGATCGCGTGGAATAAACATATTTTCGTCCATTATAAATTATACGGATAAAAATCTTGTTGGTAGGTATTTTTCTGGCGTTTCTTTTGAGAATTTAGTAGGTAATTACGCTAAAGAAATTCTGACTAAGTGCGTAATAGAGGTTAACAAAAGGTAGATCGATATATAGAAACAACATGTTATATTAAAACATGTAACGAACCACAAAAATCATCACCTGCGTTTCAGATAATTTCAACACCAATGGAAAGAATTCTTGCCTTTTACGCATGTCTAAAATTTGCAATACTTAAGGCTTAGGCTTAGGTGAAAGAGTCCGCTAACAAATTGTTTGTAGTAACATACTGTAAACACAAAATACCCTAAGTCATTTTTGGTCGAGACTATTTGTAGGCGCCTGATCGTTTAAAGTCAAATTTTGAGCACCTTGACTGTTGATATTTAACAAAACTGCTTCACGTTTTGCTCTAACTTCATTACTATAAATTTTCTTGAGCTATTGAATAGATCTGCATCCACTTCCGTAGTGGAAAGTGCTACCGTTATATTGGATATTGCAGAATTATTGTTAAAAAAGATATAATCAGTAATGAAACAACGATCGTCCTGATCACTGCCCCCAGTAGCCCAGTAGCCAACAATATCCGTTCACTTTCACACCAGCAAATTCAAGTTTCTAGTCTATTGTTGTTGTATCTAAGAATGTGTTGAATCGGCGAACAAAAGTAAGCAGCAAAAGTAAATTGGCAACCGGTTTTTGATAAAGAATCTCCCTCATTTGTTCTTTAGTAGTTTAATAGTGATTTGGAGTTAAGGGTGTATTCACAAGATATGATTTTTCCATGTTAAATCTCTTTAAAATGCCAAGAAATAATATGGCATTGGTCAATTCATATTTTTTATTCTGTCTATCTCTCCATCTTTAGGATATATCATCAATATAAAACTTGCTAAAATTAGCGTTACTTTTCCATTAATCTTATAATATATACAGGAGCCAATAGCACATCGCTTTAATCCAATTCCTTCTAAAAATATATCCAAATTTAAGTTCCAGACATCAAAGACTAACCAAAACCTTGTTT